CMAAWWWTWWKKTTTTTKRWWAAMYYMTKKTTTTWAWWRRAWTTKTTTTTTTTTTTAAATAAAWATTATACATTTTTCTATTCTTCTATATTCCTCTTACTAGTTAAAATAATAATTTGAAGTTACAATTACACAGCATTTTTTGATTTAGGTTTCAGAATCTCGCAAAATGTTTGTGCACTATTCATCTAAACTTAACATACCTACTTATAAATATTTAACTWAATGCGGTATCGTCGTTCTAAATAAGATTTATAAAAAATTTTATCTTCAGAAAAGTATACTGATTCGAAATATGGAATTAAAAATGAAGATCTTCAAGTAAAACAGTTCAAAAATGTTAACGATAAATAAAATGTTGTGTTTCAGTGACTTAAAATATTGTAAAAACAAAATTTTGAAACCATATAAAAAATTACTTATCGGTCATAAAATAATCAATATATGTTTAATAATTAATAATATTATATCCGAGAGTCTTCATTGTCTATATTTGCATTCGGTAGATGTGAACGGTGATAATATATATTTTATTTTCGATAACATATTATTTGGATTATTTAGGTTTTTATTCTACCTTAAAGTAAAAAATATACTTTTTATTTTTATTTTCAATTTCTTTTTTACATTGGTTAATAAAAATAAAACAAATTAGGTACATAAATTTTCAAATATTTACTAATAGATTATTAGGTATACGTTCTTTTGAAGACCGAAGTTACCTGATAGTCGGTATAATAGATAGAGAATAGATAATATTGATCGATGTGTATACAAAAATATTACTCAAGTCATTAGAATATGAATAAATTGTACTTATTTTTTATTAATAATATTGACGTTGCAGGTGAGCTGACCATTGCTCCGTCCAACTCGCCGCCGACTTCCAACACACCGCCGATGGGCGGCGGAGGCGGCGGTGACGGATCGCCCGGTGGCGGAAGAGATTCSGATCAAAGTCCGCCGCCGATGAGCGGTCAACTATCAGAGTCACAGCTGTCCGGCGGCGGTCGAAGTGTGGTAACCGGCGGTAGCCCGTTTGCCGTGTCCGCTAACCGCGATTACCATTTCTCGCACATACAACACGGCCAGGTACCGTATACGTTCAACTTGCCAGCTCACGATTACAACCCGTCGAATTATTAACGTTTTTTATTTTTTCTTACCATTTTTTTTTCTATTTGTTTGTTTGTTTGTTTGTTTGTTTTTTTCGTCCGTTTGTTTTCACTCAATAACAACAATATTTTTTATAAAAATATGACTTAACACATCRCCTCTCCCACCCCATGCCTGCGACGTATATATTATTTCCGTACACATAATATAGGTTTTGGTACTCTTTTATTGCCAGGTGGCATGAACAATCACTAAACATTTGACCAATCATAAGTGAGCTAATTTTAGTCATAGTTTGGTGGCCCATAACTGGTCTATTAAATCGCATTGAATTATTAATACATTTTTATGCAATCCGGCATATATGCATGTAGCATTTCGAGTTTTATTCGTTATCATTTCCATGCCAAGCTATGTTTTTTATTCGTCCTGTATTCGTATTTACTATCGTTAACGATTATTACTTATTATTTTTTTTATTATTATTAGGTACCATTGTCGGAAATCTGGTATATGAGTATACCGTGGTAGATATGTCTGCTCAGGTTATAACTATATATGCCACAGCGCATTACAATAGGAACGGCTATACCGCATACTTTGAACGGAGTACAATATTTCTTCTTCTCGGATTTAATAATTTAAGTAGTTTTTGAACTTTTTTCGCACTCGGATCCGACACGTACGATCCAACATTTGACCCGTTAACGATAATATAAATGCACAAAGACATACCTATTATATTATTAGATGCTTATCGTGCATGTAATATATACGTTGCGTAACCATCAATATAATAATATATTAAACAGACGCCACCCGAAAAATTACACCCCGTTTGTCCGTTCAAGCTTTGCTTAGCCGTCAGTGTTTTCGTGTTTTATAGTTTGTTGTTGTTATTGTTGTTGTTTTTTTTTATCGTTTTTTATTTGTTGTAACCGCACACGGTCCCGAATACCGTCTGCTTATATATATATATATATAAAACATACCTACGTCTGTAAAGATCTTGTTTTTATATTAATTATAATATCCAACAATACATATTATTTTACATCCGTTCGCTATTTCACTATGTGTTGATAATAACATGTAACCAGCGCATTCGCCATCCTATATATTATTCTGTTATAATACAAATAATAATAATTACGATGCAAAACTTACGAGCGGTACATTGTTTTCAATTTTTGATTGTTTTTTTTTTTAAATTATAAATAAATATTTTTTTTTGTGTATAACATTTATTTTTGTTTAATCGTCGTTAGAATAAACAATTTTGGTACCTATTACAACCACCTGTATAAATATAATAAAAACATGTATAACTATATACTTATATTGCTGTAAAACGCTGGGAACGTCATATTATACAAGTGGATAACGTGGTTCATCAAATGCTAAAATGTGCCATTCTATTAGGTTTTAATAATAATATTATAACGATGTTTGTTAAAGTCAATCCATAACTGTAAATGCGTGTGTACATAAAATACTAAAGTGCAATAAATAAATATCCACGGTAGAGAGATGCAGTTATTAAATTAGGTTCAATACTTTTACGTAGTACCTATGTATACATTACGTAAGATCATGTGTTATTATTATTTTAATCAATTATTATTATTATTATTATTATTATTATTGTAATATATTTTATAAGTTATAATTATACAGTTATGATTATTGTCATTACATTGTTAGTTGTGTGTTCGTGTGAGTATAACCTAATGTATAGATGACATTGTGAATATGTTTATATTAATATATTATTTAGATTGTCGATCTTCACTTATGTTATAATATATGTATATATAAAATTATTATTATATTATTAAATTTACATCTGTAGCAATTACATAGGTAAAGAACAAAAATAAACAACGATAAAATGTTTTATATGTTTTGAAATCAAAMACTTATCAAATATGCATTTCGTCGTACGAATAAATAATAATATATAGATAGTAAGAACTGATCATTACAACTTCCAGATTATTTATTCACTTCATTCGTGTAAATTATTTGTGTATATATATACATATAAAAAATAAATTCGCAAGCATTTGATAATATTCAGTCAATAATAATATATCATACCTTGACAATTTTAAATAATTATTTCAWACGTGAAAACGGTTTTTATTCTTATTTTGAAGAAATTATTTTTGTATACATTTTCGCAGTTTCTCCGCAGTAATTKATTATATGTTTAGTCAGTTTAAGAACATAAAAAAATCTTTAAATGTTTTGCGTAACGATAATATAATATTTAAACCCTACGAAATAAATGTTGTTATTTATTCTTTAAATTTGAATTTTTATTTACAAATGTAAACTAAAATTTATTTTCCAACTAAGAAAAAAATGCCTCTCGCGGAATAATTTTTGTCAATATTGTAGTTTTAAATGGTGTTATTTTTAATTTTTAATACATTTTATTATTCGTTACAAGTTACGACATTTAAAAAATAAACGTTTCACAACAGTGAAATCCTCTTCTATAATATTATCGTGTTTTCTCGTTCGTTCGATTTATTTTACAAATTAATTCCATTGAAAACATTTAAATACGAAAGATATTAAAAAGAAAAAAAAATGAATATCTTGCAAACGTGAACCAGAAATTCCAGTTTATTAAAATAATGTGATTATAATATAGGTACACCGCGGCCGCGTAGGTATACAAAGACATCGTACGTATTTYTCTCATTTATGACTTGGAATATTGATCAAGTGATATTTCTCATACCTACAATGACGCGTAAATATATTTAAACCCATACCAAATGATTTGATGCTCGACTGCAGTTCAATATTAATCTCGACACCGATTTAAAATAAAATCGCACCGTCTGAAATTGCATATATTTAGTRTAATTSAATAATATAATTGATTACAATCGTTTTATACGGTWAMAATACGCGAGGAAACAATAATCAAATACTTATWGCAGATAACTCAAATTACTCGAGAAAAAAATATCAAAAAATTACATTTAAAGTTTGAGGTGTTATGGTTTTCGTTTTGTTCGAAACGTGTTCGTGTCGCGTTGTACTTAGATATGGCCGACCTCAGTATTATGCATTGTCATATATTATTATGATGTATGTATATACGGTGGAAAATGAAGAGCCAGAGCAAACCTCGTGGGCGTTTTCAGCAATAATTTTTATTCATCTTTTACGTGCCAAGGACGGCGTTCCGTCGGTAGTAGGTCGCGCTTGGAGAATTGCATTCGTGCRATAATATTATATATCTACGTTATATTTTATAAAAAACTATACATATTATGCTATATAACTAGGGACGATAATATAACTATGATACTTTATAAATTAAAGATTACAAATAATGATTTATAGTCAAATTTTTTATTTCATAATATTATGCGTTGTGCAAAATAATCTTTGAAGAAACCAATATATAATCTGTAAATATATATTTATGAAATACAATATCGAATAAAATCCATAAATAAATCAAGTTCGACATATATAGCGTACTATATATTATTTATTGTATTGTTATTTAAAGTAGACCGAGATGACCAAAAATACAGCGTTAAATTTCCGGTTTCATATCAAAACCTATACGTACTTGAAATATTTTAATTTAGATAGGTATATTATATTATTGTAATATTTGCAGTATATATTTACAATGTTGGTATCTACATCGTATAAAATATCGCAAACCAAACTTAGTGTAATATTATCGTTTCATATTCTGTAGACTAGACTATGCCATCCACATATTATATAGGTACATAATTCAATAATTKTGTTGTCATAATATCAATTTACTATTGGTTCTTGTATCGCGCATACAATCAAACACCACAACACCACCCACTCAATCAGCCAGCATGATTATATTGTAACAGTTGAATTACTTAATTTTTCCTTTATTATTTTTATATTTTACTATTTAACGGCATCCGGCAATTTAATAATGAATAATAATTAAATGTACATATTGCTATTATTATATAATATATATACTTACTTATTAGAAGAGACCTATAAAGTTGAACGATTGACTATTTTTATTATTATTTCAGTAATATGTATACCTAATATTATTTAGAAAACATATTATAATATAATTATAATAGGTACCTATTATGTTTTGTTATTGTTTCTGTTTGTTAATAGATGTTTCTGTTACGTAATAATTCATTTGTTTTACGCACTGTAATTGTATAATATAAATATTTATCGATTAATTTAAAGCTAAGAAAATAAACCGTTTTAGTGATAATACATACATAATAATTATATTTTATGATAATATACTATATTATTGTTTTAAAGAAAATTAACTGCATAAGTATATTTATATATTATATAGATATAGTGTAATTGTATAATAGTGCGTTCTTATTGTTTTATTATGCTAGTAAGTTTTTGTTTAATTTTTTATATAGGTATACTATATTGTATCACATATTATACTATTATTATTTTGTAAAACCAATAAGTTTTCAACTACCAAAGTATATATATATATATAATATATATACTATTTCTTTTTGTATAACTATGTGTAGTAGTGAATAGAATCTGTTTTGTGATATTGAAACTCCTTTTATTGTACATAAACATACATATATACGAATRAAAAAATGTCGTGTTTTATTGCCTCATCTATGACTAAAAGTCGGTAATACTGATTTACTAAAATTTAATTTACAACAATTATTATATATCACCTCTACAATATTATGTGATGGATAATAAATATCTTCCCGTTATCGGAGACAATATTATTATACAATTTTACTCACACGTATGTACGTTGTATTGCGTTCGTGGCGTCGACATCTCTCTCTCCTGTTTCATTGCGTGCCAAGGATATGTGTTTAAGTCTCTCCATGTCGGCACTAGCCGAAGCTGTGCCAAGAAGTCACCTAGATATAAAAATACATAATTTAATAATGTTCGATTTGTTTTTTTCATTGTCACAAATATTTGTTAAAAGCGGGACTTAATGTAAATGTCGTAATTATTRTCCAATATAACCGTTGCTCTACCAGTTTGTTTTTGTGTCATTTCAGTGTTCATGTGTGTGCGTTTGTTGTTAATCAATAATAATTATATATGCATACTCGCCCTAAGTTGAAGCATAACTGAAAATAATGATTTTTATTTA